AATGCAGTCACAATCTAACCTGCAACACAGGAGCACCTGGAGAAAACACAGAGGGAGAACATACAAGCTCCACACTGAGAGGCCTCAGGGCAACCAGCAGTTTCAAAACCAGAACCTTTTTGCTGCACCACAGTACCACCCTCGTAAATGGAAATGTAAGTGAATGAGCAGTCAAAAGTATTTTGGTTTCACTTCTGAGGAGCTGTCATATCATCCATCTGTAGTTCCAGCCTGGTCTCCAGATATAAATCAGGACTTAATGGGTTTGTTTGTGTGTGAAAGCGAATAGCCAGTCACATAACTGTTTCTGCCCTGATTGATAAACAAAGTCACTGTGATGAAAAGTGGCATTTTGAAATGCAAAAGGCTGCTGGAATCAAATAGGCTGGATCCATAACAAACTCTATGAAGGTGAAAATAAAAATAATGAAATATTTCATATTTAATGTGTTTGATTATTTCACATGTACATGGTTACAGTGTATTTTTATGTATTTATGTGGTTATTTATTTAAAGGAGGAGTCGGATTCTGGAGGAAAATGGTTGATATTTAGGTAGTTAGCATATTTAGATGGTAAATTCCAGATTTACCGCCTCCCTCACTCCCACTGCCCCCTTTTCCTGCATCTCTTCTCTGCCTCCTTTTCTCCCTGTCCTTTGTACGATATGTTGGAGCAGTACTGTTTGTTTGCCATAAGATCCAGGGCTGTTTTTCAGTGTACACACAGGATGGACAGCTAGCAGACCTTTAGGAGATATGCACTGCATTTGACAGAAGCAGTATTTGACTAAGATTGCTGACTTTTAAAACATCTTTATTTGTTAAGTATAATAATTTGGGGCTTCATAATAAAACATCATATTTAAGTACAAGTTTTTTCTCTAAAAACTAATTCAAGAGCACATATCTGAATAGATTTGAATCATATTTTGAGTCTGATTTTCAAAAAATACATTTTTAAAAATGTGAACACATTGTGTCCAAGGTAAAACAGGATGCAGGTGACATTGCTCCTTAAGGCCCTTATTACTTTAGATAATATTCTGCTTTAGTTTTTTTTCACAACTGCAACATATTTACAGTTCATTAATTCACCACAACCAAGTCCTGAAAGAAACAATTTGTTTGACAGAAAATTAATTGTCCACTATTTTAATACCTGATTAAGGTCATTTATCAAGCAGAAATGCTAATTATTGTGTGGTTTCAGCATTTTCCATGCCAATTTGCTGTTTTATTACTGATTTATATGAAAGGAATTTAAATATTTGAAGGTTTTGGATAGTTAGTGGGACAAAACAAGCCACAGACTACAGGTTTCTGACATTTTAGAGACTAAACAATTAATTATTTAATGAAAGAAAACAACATTCCTGAATAATGAAAGTAATTTGAGTGAGTGAGTAACTCCAAACCTACAAACAGAAACTCAATACATGCTTCATTTAAAATATTATGGCACCCAAAGGTGAATCTGCATGAACAAGGATAAATGTGACTTAAAACACATATGACATCGTTCAGTCTGCTAAATTGCTACCATCTGGAGCACAGTACCGAGAACATGCTGTCATTGTCTCTTCATTAATCAACGCAAAGACTTTGTTTCACTCCCCAAATGCAACACATTGTCAATTATAAAAGCCCCAGCAAATTAACAACACCTCCGTCTTACTCAGCTGCGCCAGTTGTGACAAATTAATTGCATTTCTTCTTGGTTTTTTTCAGTTGACTTCACTTATCCATTAGAACTTGTCAATGTGACTCTGGTGCCACCTAATCGTTAGCACTGACAGACCAGCTGAAAAGATAATCCCATTCTTGCCTGCTTTCAAGTTGTTATTTAGAGGACAGAGTAAGGGCGTGCCATTTATTTCCATTTCCTCAGATGTCTGACTTCAAAACTGATCACGTGTTCAAAGGTGAAGCCATATATGTAGATACCACTTATGAGTAAAGAAGACTTACAAGCTTTTGATGTGAAAATGGACTTTCTTATGTCTTTTCTGAGCAAAATCAAATGAAGCATGTGCAGTGATTATAGCAATGTGCTACATGCATCCACACACACGCAAAGAGATGCACATTTAATGGTAAGCGCCAACGCATCCAGTAGTTTCATCCCTCTACTGAATGAAAGCCTTTTTACCAGACTTGTGATCTTTTTGTAGCGAGCAATGCAAGTTTTTTTTTTCCAATGAATGAATTAAAAAGAACATGCAAGTACATTGCAAGAACTGCCTTACAGCAAATAAAGTCGCCTGTATAATGCCATCAGAAGGTGTACACCATGTCATGCATGGCTATAATAACCAGAGTAGAAGAAACCATCCATCCATTATCTATACAATGCTTTATTCTCTGTAGGGTCATGGGGGGGCTGGAACCTATCCTAGTGTCACATACAGTGTCTTGTATGAGTACAATCAAGCTTGAGCTGCCAAAGGCGCACAAATGTCAACTACTTTACTGCTACAAAACGCCCCATGTTCGTGTTGTATTTGTTTTATGTAATTATATAAAATGTGTTGTGAAAAAAAAGGAAAATGGGTCATTAAGAGGATTGTATGTGATGTTTTGCACATGTGATTCCAAATAAAAGAGACAATGTCAAAAAAAAAAGAGAAAAAAATCAAACTACAGATTTAGACGGTCAAAACTTAAGCCGCAATATTATGACAAAGTCATACATCCCAATCTATTGCTTGAAACAGCACACACTTTGTAAAGGCAGCTACAGTATGACTTCAATTAAAAAGAAAAAGTATGCGTTCACTACTTTTACTTTCACTGATCCACTAAATCTCAAAGAAGGAGAAAAAATCAAAACAAACTGCTCATCTATAAGAGAAAAATGAAGGGGGAAAAAAAAAAAACTGTTTTCAATCAGGCAAGTTGTAGTTTTTGTTTCATGTGAGCTGGTGCTGGCCATGTTTTATACTGTCCAAAGGTGGAAATAGCTGATCACCCGAGTTAAATGTTTGCTACATGAGAACTTATTGGGAAAAGGTTTTTTTTTTTAGATATTGCAGTTTCTGGTACCTAATCTAATGCAATACTTGAGCACCTATGTTATGGAAACACGGCTACGATAAGATAAATTTTTTTCGAGCGCAGTCATTTTCACTGCAGTAGTAATGCAAGATTTTGGTGTGTGCACAAACTGCAAAGGGAAATGAGCTCTGTGACTGTACACTGAAGTTCTTGCCAACGTTTCAAAGGTAAAGCATAAACATATTGTCAGACTGATGAGAACATTTTCTTTACTTTGACATGAAAGACCATTGCTAAGTAAAAAGGGACATCTGTGGGTGTAGCAGACATCCCCAAACTGTTACACACCTCACTTGAAAAACAAAGTGCTTTTATGATATGCTAACATTATTTTTAAGGTTTTATTTGACACAAATTCAACTTGGTTAGACTTAAGGAAACATTGTGTTTGGCCTAGAATGACTACTTTGGTAAAGTCAGCAGACCTCCTTTGTCATTATATACAACTATAAACCTGTGCTTGGTGTTACGGAACAATCGCAGAACAGTGAAAGCAATGTTGAATACTGAGGATAATCAAATAGCAGCTTTCCATCATTGTGTTGTTCTGCAAACACATGACCTCTGTATTTCTTTCCTTCCACATGGAAACAATTAGAAGCAATTATGTCTGCAAGTATGCTTTGTCACTTGAATGTGAACATATGCTATTCCATATGGACCACTTGCTAAAATGACAGTCCCCAATCTTAAATTAATTCAGAATCTATTTATTTCAAGGAGATTGCTCCACCTATTCCTGAACTTTAAGGCTCATGATTCATTGCCTTTTCCATCAATAAATGCTTTCCCCTTTAGACCTCTGAGATGGTTTATTTGTAATAGCTCTTTAAGGCCTAAGGGTTGGACATATCACATATTTTGTCAGAATATGAAATATTCATGTCCCAAGTTTAAAGACCAAATTTTGTATCGGAACTTTTTTCTTCTTCCTTTTTTTTCATGAAATGACTTCACAACCTTTCAATTTTGTATTGTGATTCTTACCATGGGAGCTATAGGGGGCTGCTCCCAAGACAATGTCCCCTGATTCCGTATTATTCAGATGAAATAGAGCACACTTTGCCTCCTTGTGCCTCTGAAAGACCTTTTCAATGACAACCGCTGGAGGAAAACTCATTTGTTGGTTGAACTGCTCACACTTCAGGCCCTCACTATGACCACAGCCTGTGATGTGGGCCACAGATGGACATTACTTAATAATAATAGCCCAAACAGTTGGAAACTATTAGACTTGACTTTCTCAGAGTTAAGCTCTTACTACAAGTTGATAAAAATAAAGTTCTTGTAGTTCAAACCAAAACACTGAAATATTGAGTTTAATGTTTTTTTATCCTGTCTTTTTCACTATTTGCAGTTTATAAAGCATTTTGAGCTGCCACTTTTCCTGAAATTAATAATAGAAATATACTGCCTCAAACATCCTTATTATTAGTTATTGGTTGTTCTAGCAGTTTGTGCAGTAGTGCTTCAGTCTCCTAGGTTGCCTGATTTACAGGCATAAGCTACTTTGCTCCATGTGATTACCTGTAAATCCTGGCTTTTTGCTATCCTCGTGTGGACAACAATGTATACTGCAGCGTTTGGAATAAAAGTGGATGTTCCTGTATTTGAGCATACAGCATGCAGTCATGAAAATCACAATAAATAGGACAACTGAACCCGATGTTTTATTCAAATTGAATGTCAACATTATCATTGGCAACATTTGTCCGACGTTTACATTTTACAATATACATATATATACAATGGCAACACCTTTACAGGACAGGTTAGAGGAGGTGTTTCAGTCCGTCTCTAGTGTGTGAGTCATTAAAGAAGCAAGTCCAGGAGGAAAAAAATCTTTATGACAGAGGTTCTATTGTAGCTACATAGAAAAGAGCTTGATTTGTTGCAGAAACTATGGGTTTAATTTTTTTGTCTTCCTCTGTAATTTCCCCATTTTCATTCCCCCTTTCTTTCCTCATCTTTGTCTTCATCGGCCTCTTCCTTCTTTTCCTCCTCTCCTTTTTCCTCTCCGTCCTCTTTTTTCTCTCCGTCTCCTTCTTCTGCTTTTTCATCTTCTTTTTTCTCCCCTTCCTCAGGTTTTTCTTCCTTTTTCACTTCCTCCTCCTCCTCCTCCTCTTCCTCCACCTCCTCTCCCGTCAGGTGCTCTAGATCTACAATGCGATATCTCAGAGCTTTGTCAGTCTTCTTGTAATTTCCCACAATCTTCTTGATCTTAAACTGCATCAGCTCCATTGTGTTGTACAACTTGTTGACCTTCTCCTCCAGCTCTTTGGTCTCAGGCTTGATGTTAGCTGGGTCCAAGTCGATCAGACCATCTTTCATCAGGATCTGCCGACCCTTCTCTTCCAACATGCCTTTGGCATCTGGATACTCTGTCAGTGATTCCATTAAGTCATCCTTTGACAGGCAGAAGAGGTCAGAGTATCCAATGCTGCGAATGTTGGCTGTCCGCCTGTTTCCCGCTTTGCTACCTTTAATATTAAGGATACTAATCTCACCAAAATAGCTGCCACTTCCCAATACAACAAACTGTGTGACACCATCATCAGCAACAACTGCAAGTTTTCCGTCTTTGATAATATACATCTCACGTCCAATGTCCCCTTTCTTGCAGATGTAGTCTCCGGGGCTGAACACTTGTGGCCGGAGTTTGAGCACCAGCTCGATCAGCAGGCCAGCCTCGCAGTCTGCAAAAATACGAACTTTCTTCAGCGTATCCATATGGACTTGGATGGCTATTTCCGCTTTTAGCTTGTCTGGAAGATACCTGAGCACTTCTCTTTCATCCTGCGCCTTTCCATTATTCCACAGATAGTCAAACCACTTGATGACTCGCAGCTCAAGATCCTTGCTAACCTTTCGAACCTAGACATGAAAAGAGAGTAAGAGCATTAAAAGAATAATCAAAGACCAGATGACTGTGCAACAGCAAATCTTTATAATGATTTCTAAAAAGAAGAAAGAAGTTCATTTACCTGCATGTACTGCTTGATGTTGTCAATGCGGGCCTGAAACTGGGCTTGGGCAGCATTCATATTGGAAATCATGGTAGCAATGTTTCCCACGATGGTAGCAAAGATCAAGACACCAACTAAGAAGTCCATTACATGGAAGAAAAATTCTGAATCCAGAGCTGGTGGGGGAGTTTCTCCGATGGTGGTCAGGGTCAGTGTGGACCAGTAGAGGCTGAAAGCATACTTCCTCATGGGCTTCCCAAAGTCAGGCTGCTCTGGATCATCCAGAGCTGGGTAAACCCAGTCATCAGCACCAAAACCAATAGATTTGGAGAAAGAGAAGTAAAAACAGGCATTCCAGTGGATGATAATGAGAATGTACATGATCAGGTTTCCAATGCGGAAGATGTTGGGATAGTTGGTTTTCGTCTCTGTCCTTGTGAAGAACTCCATCATTCGGCCGATTCTCAGCAGCTTGTTAAGTCGGATCTCTGGGTAGTCGAGGCCAAGGAAGAAATATAGGAGATCAGTAGGCAACATGGAGACAAAGTCGAGACGGAACTGGAAGCTGCTGATGTAGCGGTCCCGAAGCAGCTTCTCATCTTTCACCATCAGGCCTTGTTCAAGGTAACCTGCATCGAAAGAGGTACAAATCACAGTATATATTCAGATACAGCGTGGAATTAAGTATCAAGTGAAAGTATGCCCTATCATTGCTATATTCATCCCTTGATTGCACACCATGGGATCATCATTCAGATTCAAATTATGCAAATGTATGTGCAAGACATGCAAATTAGGTAACTGTTAAAGTTGAACTGTTGGCTGCATCAGTGACAATTTAGGACTCATGAGTCACTGTCAATGCTCATGCAATTCATGTTTGATTTGTTCTCACATTATAATTAGTCTTTAGTTTGTGTGGATCAGTGCTAAAAAAAACAACAACTATTAATTACATCCATTGGCACTGGAATATGATGACTTAAAGTGCTTAAGGGATTAAAAGAAAAAAAAGCAACAATAATTATATTAATATATGACTTAAATATCACTTCCAATGACATAATTCTATGGAAGGATTCTTTTTACATTCAGTATGAGTGGGAAAACATTGATCAATAACTTTATCAATAGAAATATGTTATTGTGACAACTGTTTCAAGACAAGGTTGAAATATAGGACCTTCCTTCATTAGATTCTTCATGTGTTTCTGCAGAATGGGAGGCCTATTTTAGTTTTTCACCTGTTCTGGTTCTGAAGAACATGTCAGCCAGATAGACAACGTCCGAGGTGTAGTCCAGAATAACCCAATATAGGAGGTAGTTGTGCTGCAACTCTTCAAAGCAAGCCCTGTTTGCAGGGGAAAAAAACACAGAGCAGTGAGTACATTGTAATTGAATTTTGTACCTTTGCCACTGTCCCCCCATTGTGCTACTGCTTCTGCCAATATATCTAGTCCAGAAATTGCACAACAAATAGCATTCATTGTTGCTTTGAATTCCAGTTATATCAAAGAACCTGCCACTTAAGCCTATTTCTCTTCACAAAGCCAAGCTGCTGCTAAAATGGATTTGCTGCAACATGTGGACCAGGTTATGAATAGCCTCTGATGTAGTTGAATGAAATCACAAGAACATTTGACCGTGTAGAAAGAGTGGCTGTCACCTGGCTATGATCATGGTCCAGTTGTACATGACTGGTACTGTGATGACGAACAGCCAGTTGTAATACAAATTTGAAGCAGGATTAATGACAAATAGTTCTTTGGGCCTGTGCAAAGACAGAATGAAAGCACATTAAATTCCTGAAAGCACACAGTTTTTAAAAAGCATCTCTTGAGGAAAGTCTTCTAAGTGATGTACTTACTTATCTTTGTTTTTCTCTTTCTCCTTTGCTTCTTTTTCCTTTGCCTCTTTCTCCTTTGCTTCTTTTTCCTTTGCTTCTTTTTCCTTTGCTTCTTTTTCTTCCTTTTCCTTCTTCTCCTGCTCTTCCTTTCTGTAATGTGCAGAAATGCATTTTTACAATTCTGAGCATCAACTGTTTTTTTTTTCCGTACAACAGTCAGTAAAAGGCTTGAATCAAAAAGAACTACTCTTTCTTCTCCTTCTTCTCTTTCTTCTCCTTTTTCCTTTTTTTCTTTTTCTCTCTGAAAAGGGATTAATTAACAAGTTAAACAGGCTTGCTGAAATGACTTAAGACACATCAAAGAGACACTGTGATTTACAAGAGCTTCCCTTATCTCTTTGTGGCTCCAAATTGTACTTACTCTTCATTGTTATTGCTGTTATTCATATTCCCCACATGATGAGGGTTTGATTGAGGTGCACTTCTGGAACAAAGCACAGCACATTACACATAAAGTTAATTAACTGGCAAGTCTTTGCCTGATATTTCTCTTTAATGTGTTGTAAACCCTCTGTTTGAATTAGCGTTAGACGTGTCCTTGAAGTGTTTCTTACAGGTCATCCTCGCTGTGCTCTTCGCTGTCTGTGCCAGGTTGTGGTGCAGGATGAGGGTGGGGAATGGTGATAGAAGTGGTCATTGCAGCAGATCTGCACCTTACCCTGCAACAATAATTCAAGGATGACAGCTGTGGACTAGAATGAATGATGGCAGATATAATAGGCCCTCAAATTAAACAAATTCAGACCTGAGACGGCAGTTATTTTTGATAAGTGATTAATCGTATAGCCATTTTAAAAGCAAAAAATTGCAAAAATGAACTGCTTTTTTGTTTCTTTCATGAGTTTTATTCTATTGGTTGTGCAAAACAACACTTTACTTTTGTCTATGAGGCAGATTTCACTCTTTTACAGACCAAAAAAGAGCTCATTATTAGCTGCAGTCCTAGACACTTGTCACCCAGGTCGTGTTAATCCTAAAAGTTGTGTGAGTTTGGGGTGACAGCTTAAATTTGGGACTCCTCATCAGTCATTTAGAATTGAAGAAGCTTCTTGGCTGAGAAATTAGATTTCTTCAAGAATCAAAGAGTTCAGTTGCCTTTGACTGAAGCTTTTAGGAACAACACTATTACTTGTTCAATGACATCAAACTATGTTGTGTTCTCAATCTATCCAGCTCAGTGCATCAAAGCAGAGGAAATTAATTAATTATTTCATATCTGCCCTTTACATTTTCATCCATTCCGCACGTGGAATATTTTCCGTGATCAGACATCGTAAAGAATGCAGAGCAGCCCGTGTGACAAGAAAATTAATTTAATATTATGGTCACTGCATCACTGCATTTTTAGTCTAAGATCACAATTGGTGAGTGAAATGAGTCAGTTGAGAAATACTTATCTAAAGAGTAATGATGATTTGGTCTAGTTTTGCATAGTTAAACTTACCTTTTCCACTCTTTAATGTAATGTGAAGTCCATTTTCCTATAATCCTTGTGTAGTTTTTTTTCTTCTTTTTTAAGATTTGGAAACTACCTGCTCACAGTATCAGCACTTTAACTGTCTCAACTATCCAACATGAATAAAATAGCATCAAAATGTGACAAGGCAACTGACACCTGTAAGCATTGAGTCTATCTAACTGTGTCATAGAGTCTCAGTGACCCTGACGAGGATTTGTGGATTAGAGTTGGCTGAGAAGAGGCAAAGTCACTCATCCTGCTTATTTGACAGCTCCAGTGGGAGATAAGATGTGTCTAAGTGAAGTTTGGACAGCCCTCAGTTCACCTGCTAGTGAGGATCCGCAACACTGAAAATCATTTTGTGTCAGCACTTCTTATTCTTTTTATTTATTTTTTTACTTTTATCTGCGACAGGCTGTAATTTTCCTGACCATTTGCGGAACAACAGAGGATTTAGTCCTGCACATACACACAGTGGCCTCTCCTGCTCAGTCAGCACTCTGAGCCATATCCCGCTCTGATCCTATTAGAAGCTGCCCGCTAGAACAGATTTCAGATCAGGTGGATCTGGTTCCTTTTAAATGAATAACAATTATGAGAGTGAAATTAAAGCCGAACCCCCGTCAGTGTTGAGCAGTGTGCTGACAGAGATTCTCCTCCCTGAGGCAGACCACTGTAGAAATGCTGTGGTTCAGTGGCTCTCCCTGTTGGCTGATGTTGTGTTTGCAGTTTCATGACAACAAATTTTATTTTGCATTTAATAGTTTTGGAAAGGGCTGCAAGGTGGCGCAGTTGGTTAGCACTGTTGCCTCACAGCAAGAAGGTCGCCGGTTTGCGTCCCGGTGGAGGCACCGGGATCTTTCTGCATGGAGTTTGCATGTTCTCCCCGTGCAGCGTGGGTTCTCTCCGGGTTCTCCGGGTTCCTCCAACACAGTCCAAAAACATGTTGAGGTTAATTGGTGATTCTAAATTGTCTGTAGTTGTGAATGTGAGTGTGCTTGGTTGTCTGTCTCTAAGTGTAGCCCTGTGATAGACTGGTGACCTGTCCAGGGTGTCCCCTGCCTTCGCCCTCAGTTGGCTGGGATAGACTCCAGGCCCCCCGCAACCCAAGTGAGGATTAAGTGGTGTATAGATAAATGATGAATGGATAGTTTTGGAATAATTTAAAAAAAAAAGTGACATTATGAGATTTTGTTGTGTGCAAGTCCTGAAAGATGATACACTTTAATCTTATACACAAGATGAATCTTAGCACAAAAGATATAATAATGAAATATGATATTTTGGCTCAAGGGCTGCCTGCTATAGAAAGTACAGTGAAAAAAGAAAACACATAGGATTACCTTAACCGCTCAATTGTATCATGCTTTGAAATTTTATAACAAAATAGTCACATGAGGCTTTCAGGTACAGAATTGTAAAAAGTGTTTTATTCCAAGACAGAGAAAAGAATCCAAACAACAGTTTTAATACTCCACATGTGGCCTGATAACATGCTGTGGTTGTTTCACTTTACATATAATGTTACTTTTTTTCCCCACATTTTTTCTTCAGTGTCTTTTCAATATGCCACAGCCTTTTTATGCGTTTACACTACAACTATATCACCCAAGGCTCTTTCCTGCTACTATTCTAGTTGCTTTTAAAAGACCATGTCTTGACTGGTAATGAGAGGAAGATAACTACAGAGGAGCAGGATCTGCTGCCCCTCCTGTCGTGGGAGTATCAGCAGCCAGTGGAGCGTCAACAGCTACAGGGACATCAGCAGCAACGGGGGAATCAGTTGCGGCAGGGACAACCACATCAACGGCCACCTCAGGGGCTGCTGGGGCGATGTCGACGGGAACCACATCCACAGGAACCACATCAACAGGAACCACATCAACAGGAACCACATCCACAGGGGGCACATCCACGGCGGCAGCGTCGACTGGTGCAGCATCTACAGGGATCTCAACTACCGTCGGCTCCACAGCTGCCGCAGGGTCGGCTGCAGGGTCTGCAGGAGCTGCCTCGACCACAGCTGGCTCGGCCTCGACTGCCTCCACCTCCTCGGCCTCCTCCACCTCATCAGAGTTTAGGGGGGCAGCAGGAGCAGCGCCTGCAGCAGCTTTGGGGGCAGGGTTTCCATCCTGTGCCAGCGAAAAGGAATTGAAGTTGAAAAGGAAATTTGTTCAGCTGCTTCACATTTGGGACCCTGGTATCGTTCATGTTGGCACACTGTCGCACTATTATTTGTTCCACTCATGCGCTATGACAAGGCAACATGTTCACTGGGAGAAGTGTCTGTTGGTCTAAAATAAAATTCAGTCAAACAATCAACACAGTGGGTGATTCTGTGGCCTCTTTCATCAACGGGTTGCCACATATATCCTAAATTTGTATTGGAGACATAACCACACTGCAGATCTTTATTTAGGCAGAACTCCAGACTGAAAATTAGTGTTGGCAAAGTGCCACTGTTTCTATTTATGAACATATGACTACTACTTTTCTGCTTGCTGTCTGCCTTTTTTTTTTTACTGTGTTTACAGATACCCTCCACCCATGTTTTCTCAACTAATTCTGTCCATCAATGCATTATAAATAACATCCCACCGTATACTTCTTGTTTAACTTTACACTAAAGGCACTATAAATACAGTAATAAAGACAGGTTGTTTCATGATTGAACAAGATTATATTGAGAAAATATCTCTTTAAACATAGAGAAAGTTGCCAGCAAACATTTTTATCTGTTGAGTGTCTTAACCCTATTCAGGACCGTCGTGTTGCCATACGTAGAAGGTCTTTTGGGGTCCACTGCACCCCAAGAAAGAATATGTGCAAAATATTTGTTGGTATTCATTATAGACTTTTATACTAAATTAAACACATTTTCTGATAAGTTGACATATTTTTGGTTCCAAATGCATGACAAATATCCCTCTTTTTATATTAAAAAATAAATAAAATCTTCAAAAACAAAAAACAATACCTGTCACCAAAACCAAATGGCCTGGGGTCCAAAAGATCCCAGAAATCCTGAATAGGGTTAATATGATTAAGTTCATGAATGGAAGATGTCTGCTTACCTCCGTCTCCTCCTCTGAGGCATCTCCAACAGGGGCGGGAGCTGCAGGCGCGACATCGGCTGTCTGGGCTGGTGCAACATCCACCTGAAAAAAATATACACTTTAAACTCAAATAGCTTGTACAGTTTTGACAGATTAGAGGTTGTGATGCTGTGTGTATGCTTACCACTGCAGCCCCAGCTGGATCAACCTAAACAAATGAAGAATTCATTAATAAGGTACACACAAACATCAGTAATTATCGTTTCTGTTCGTTTTCATAGAACAACTTAAGTCACGTTAGAATCTAACAAGAACAAACTTACAGGAGCATCAGCAGCAGGAAGGAAGGGGTTTCCAACTAGTCCCTGTAAAATACAGATTTATGATTATGACTATGATGGTTATCGCCAGATCGTCTGTTATGTGTTATCTCGCTATTCAAGTGAAACATCAATGAACCCCCACTACCTGCTGCTGGTACAGCCTGTACATCTCCATCCACCTCAGGGCCTCATTAGCATGCGCTGCAACCTGCTAAATACATACCAGACATCTCCAGACATGTTCAGCAATTAAGCCAATTATCCTCTTTCTGTCAGACACCTATCATACTGTGCAATTGATGACATGATAAAAGCATGCCACGACAGGCCACGGCAGACAGATCCTCACAGAAAGGAGGTTTTTTTTTTTTTGGTGTTGTTTTAATAAGCAGTCTTACCTCATTGCTTTCACTCTCTGGAACCTACAGTTTAAGAAAAGGAAGTGAGCAAACATCAACAGGTTTATTTAGTGCCCTAAAGAACAGTGTTTAAGTGTCTAAATAGGGATCAACTGGCAGACTGAAAAATACATAACATTATGCAGGACTTACAGGTGCAGCCAAGGTTGAGATCAGCAGGCACATCAAGAACACAAACCGCTTCATCATGACTGTTCTATGGAAAGATAAGTTAATATACAGTATACAAAATAAAAATGTATATATATATTTCTGAAAATATTTTTATCACCTAAAATTGAAACAACATTTTTTGCAAGGCTATGTTTCAAATCCAGAGTAAAATTAACTATGTCTCTAAGTCTAAAATCGTTTCTATATAAAAATCCATCTCACCTTTTTTTTTTTTTTATTAGCGTAGAGAAAACGTGAAGATGTTTCTCCTCAGAGATGGAAGGCAATCTACTTCATTTCTCACAAGGTTGCCCTTTATATACTGGAATATCTTGTAATAGCCAATCACATCCAGTGAAACGTGCCCACCGATGTCTTTGAAGAAACCTCCCTCCATGTCAAAACTAAAAAAAAACTTTAAAAAAAAGAAGAGGTATGTAGGGTTGGGGCCCTTGTTATAGTTAATTACATGCTGTGCAAGTATGTTTAGCACACATGCCTGCCCATCTTTACTGCCCTAAAACCAAACTTTAAAAAAAGGAGACGGCAGGAAGCTGACATAAGCATGTAATGATATGACAGAGAAGTCTCACTTAGTTAGACTTCAACATATTCTAAACGAACATAAAGAAATGCAGAAAGATGTTTTGACAAAGATCCTCCTTAGTGCTTCAATTATTAAAGATATTGATGATGGCAGAACATCAGACCACACAACATACAGTAAAATGCTTTTTCTCTAATGTATAAAACTCATTAATCAAGATTCAAGAATTATTTTTATTTATTTTATTTTTATTTCATCATTTTATTGACACACACTGACTTGTTTATGACTTTAAGCTGCTTTCAACAAACACTGGAGAAAAAATACATCATAAAGAACTCTCTTATACACAACCGAAATAGAGTGAGGCTGAAGCTAAACGTTATGTATGTAAATAAAATATATGAATAAAATACATGGGAAAGGGAGGTTTTTTTTTGTACATTCCCGTATATATATAGAAACATACAGTATGTACACATACATAGAGAACATGAGGACAACGTTGCACTATCAGCTGTTTTCGAAACTATATTTACTCAAGTACTGCACTTTTACTGTGCTGGCTGTGCTGTCAGCTGACTTTTAAATACTTTTTTTTTTTTTTTACTGTTAAATACCAGTATTTTTCCCCCTTTATTGTGAATATCAACATTTTGCAACTTTGTTTCTTTGACTAGCACAATTTGCACAATAATTGCACATTCATGTCTTCAAACATATCTGTCTACCTACTTTGAATCTCTGTATTTTAAAGAG